GGGAGGTGGAGAGAGGGGAATGTTAATGGTAGAACCCATGAATGTTAGTGTGAGAGAAGTCTACCCCACCCCACCCCAAAATCTGAGCCTTTAAAAAAGTCATGAAATGATACCAACCTGACCCACTACAAACTCCTGCTACCTGTCAGTTATTCTACTTTTGCCTTCTGTTGACTCTCCAGCACATTTGAAAGGCTTCTTTGCTATCATCAAGACCTCCATCTCCCTCCTTCAAAATGTCCTGCTGCAAAGATCAAGGCTGTCCACTTGGGTTCCCTCATGCACACTTCTAGGATCTCTGTCTCTACAAGCAGTCCCTCATGTGACTGACTCTCTAGTCTAAAAAGAAGCTGGCCTGCTCTTTTGAGAAGCAATGGGCTGGAATCTTTTCCATCTGTATCAGAATCAAGTCTTAGCTGGCTAGTTTGGGACTACCAAAACTCATCAATGATTGCTGACTGAATCATCCCATAATGTTTGATTTGTGGCTGCTATAACTTTCCCCATAATATAGAAGGATATGTTTATTATTCACAACTTTTGTAACTGCAAGAGCTATTTCATTCCTTTGTGAATCTGAACTATTCTGCTTGTTGTTAGGGACAATATCCATATATGGCTGTGTAGAGGTTCTCCTTTTGTATGTTATTAAATGAGAGTTTTCCCCCCGCCAGTTAGGGTCATTTAAAATTCCCCTACTTAAAAAGTCAAACTGCCCTGATCAACAAAACCTCAGTAAGTAACAGCCTCTTTTAGCAAAGGCCCTACTGTCTTTGCCTCCAAGGCCAGGGAGAAAAGGCCTGTAGGCACTGGTCACACAGGATGAACTGGAGAGAAGTGTACGTCCTAGGTTGAGGTTAGGGCACATGAAATGGACACCCTGGCAATTGTATGACTCCACACTGTTTTTCTTCATGTTCTCAAACCAATGAGATCTTTCGGTTTCCAAAAACTCTATTTTGTACATGGTGACAATCTGACCCAAATGGAAGACTCCTTTACGGCACCCTAGACGTCTGTATAAACCCTATAACACTGTATTAACACAAGCAGTGACTTCTACCCTCTTGCCCCATTTTCACCTTATTGTTCACGACTCTTCTACACAAATCCAACTTTGGCCAAGATGGTTTAGGCGTTGTTCCAAGAACAGGCCCCTATCCATATCTGTCTCCTTGCCTTGGTTCAGCAGTGTCCTCTTCCTATGATTCCTATAATGCCCATTTAAATGTCACTTCCCTTTCCAGGAACAGGCAGTTTAAAACTAAACTCTTCCATGAAGCTTTTTCAAACCATTTCAAACCATGATGTTTCACTCCTCTGCAGGCCTAATCCACAGACCCTCTGTCTCACTCACTTGGAGACATTCACTATATGATATTACTTTTTAACTTTTTAGATCATAAATACCAAGAAGAGAAAGAATATCTTAATTATGTCTTTACTTTCCTCAGCACTCAACACAACGCTTTACATGTAAGAGCTTGAGAAATGATTGATACAATTTCTTCATCTTGTTTTCTCTTCAATTAAATTATAAGCTCTTTGAGGCTGATAACTTTGACATATAGTACTGTGAAAAGTATTTTTTTTTTTTTTTGCTTTTTGGTGAGGCAATTGGGGTTAAGTGACTTGCCCAGGGTCACACACCTAGTAAGTGTCAAGTGTCTAAGGCTGGATTTGAACTCAGGTCCTCTGGACTCCAAGGTCAGAGCTCTATCCACTGCGACACCTAGCTGCTCCTGAAAAGTATTTTCTATGTAGCAGGGCCTAATGTATGCAATCATAATACATTTAAGAAACATGAAGTTTACCTGGGTGTCTGTACATTACAGTGGTAGATATATTCTGTCACGGTATCATCTTCAAACATTGAAGCATACTTTCTCTTAAAGTCAGGCCTTAAACGCCGTACAAGGCTTAAGCCTAAGTAATAACAGAGAATACATCAAGTTTATCCTTTAAGGTCTACCAAAAGCTTAGAGCCTAAATCTAACAAGTTTTTAGCACTAATTTGCATGAAGACTGCTTATGATAAATATACAGATGTTAACCTTAAGTATGAAAACAAACAGAAAGTAGATCCCAGATGCTACTCTCCAAAAAGTCACACGAAGTAGGATCAATAAAATTAACATAGCCTATTTTGAATGTCAGCCAACGTTTTCTGACAGTACTCAATATGAGTCAGAGTACTAATGAAAACCACGGAAGGAAGAAGGGCAGGTAGTGGTGTTTACTTCTCCAGTCAACTAGCAGGGGTCTTAGATGTAAACACACACACACACGAGACAAACCCTCCCAAATATAATCAGGAAATGTAGGGGAAAAAAAACACTAATTCAAAAGTATATTTATTACTAAAATGGATGTCAGGATCTACAATTAGGAATCAGACACACTCTACATTGGCTACATAATGAAGATACTTTAGAATTTCCATATGAGGAGGTAGATGAGACAGTCTGCTTGATCTATAACCTCTACAATAATGTAAAGAATGGGCTATACTATTAATCAATAGGCAATATCAGGGGGGACTATTTTTTCCAAACAGAAAGTGAAGGTTGATTGAAGATGGTTTAAAAAAAAAGCAATTTTTAAAAAATATGTTCTCATTTGATTTCACTGAAATCTAAAACCAGAATGTTTATAGATGCATATCTTTACTTTCCTAGTATACAAGTACTTACCAAAGGGTCCTGCAATTCTGAGGCCAGCTAATGGGTTAAAAGGGGTCAATACAGCTCCCAAGGCTTTGATCCACACTGGAATTGGCCGATCTTGATCAGCATTATCAGGTCTCTCTGGAAAGCCCCATGGCTCTACCAAGATAAGATGCTTTACCCTATTGGGAAATAAGATGTTTTCAGATATAATGGGTTTGCTGGACACAGATCCAACATGGATTTGCTCTAGGCTCACTGAAGTCACTTACATTCTTTGGGTTTTGCCTTTCTCATCTGTAAAAAGGGGATAGTAATATCTGTAGGGTCACAACCTCACCAGACTGTCACAGAGAATCAAAGAAGCTAACGCCCAATTGGTCAAGAAGTATTTATTACGTGTTTAATGTGACAGGCAATGGTGAGTGCTGAAGATACAAAGGCAAAAAGCATGCTCCCTGCCCCCAAGGATCTCACATTCTAATTGGGGAGATCAAATGCAAATGACTGTACATTCAAGATGCATGTGTATATCGATACAGTGCAAATAGAGGGTAATCTAAGAAGGAAAGGACTGTATCAGTGAGGGGACTGGAAAACCTTACTAAATGTCATATGGCAAACTGAATGTACACACAAGTAGAGCACATTTGGGAAATGGTAAAAAAAAAACATTTTTTAACAAAAGAACCCTAAGAAAACATTCTCCACAACATACATTCCATGTATAGGCGGCTCTTTGATATTTCTGGTGGTATCCATGAGATGGGACTGACATGAATCTTTGCATGGAAATGGTGCCATATTTTTATTATGTGTTTGTGGGTGCTAACTCAACAAGGCATGCTAGCTAACCAGCTCTGGGGTTCCTGCTGGTTTCTGCTACCCCCAGAAGGAAGAACAGGCCACAATATTAATAAGGTTCCTGGATTTAAAAAATGGCATGAAAGTAACAGGGCAACAGGAGAACAAACGTTAGAAAGTCATTCTTGTCTAGCCAGTCTAGTCTGTACAAGGCAACAGTAAATGTCACCCACCGAAGAAGGCCGGTGCTCAGACCTGTGCTCCTTCTCTGACACTGCCCATATGTGCTGGGCCAGGAGGAGGAGCCTGCTGGTCTCTAGGGCACCTGGCTCACAGTCTTAAGTCTCCAAAGCTATCCTCACATCTAAGGCTTTCAATATGTTGCTTGACTGGTGAGAGCTCGCTATACTGGCCTCAGGGACCCAGCCATGCTTCAGACATCTTCCTACCATGGCACTGCCTGAATTTCTATAAACTTCCGTCCCCACCTCCCACCCACGGCTTCTGGAAAGGGCACATTAATCAAATGACTGATGGCTCACCATCCTGCACCTGCCAGACCAAAACACCTTTCCCAGACCACCACCCATTACAGGGGTTTTCTTCAGACTTTGCCACTATGCCTCAGATGCTTTCTCACCCTGGAACATCCATCCCTCAGTCCCTTTTGGCCTCCTCCCACTGGTGAGGTTCCCCCCAGCCTTGAGGGTCCCTTTATGTGTCTTCCTCCATTAGAATCTCTGCCATTCCCCTGAAGGCAGAGCAGCCTATCTTTTGGTTTATATCTGTATTCCCAGTGCTTAGCTGTGCCTGGCCTCCATAGGTGCTTAATAAATGCATGACTTCTTGTCAAATTGTCTTTCCTTACAGAATGTAAGCTCCTTGAAGGCAGGGACTTTTAAAAAAAATTTTGTATGCCCAACTCTCAGTCCAGTATCTGATATGTAATAAGTGCTTAATACTTTTTTTTCATTCATTCAAACCCACTGATGTCCCTTTGAATATCTGAATATAGTTTGATGCCCACCTCTTTACCCTTTTCTAGGTTTATTTTCACAGCAGAGGAGGAAAAACAGGAAAACAGGGGGAAACGGTGATTTTTTTTTTCTCTTCCCCATCTCCTAACTTAATCAGGGTAGGTTAGGTCTACAAAGTTATTTCACCAAAAATTCCAAGGCTACAAACCTGTAGCATGTAAGTTTTGGAGGGCTGAACATAATTTGTCAGACATTAGAAGCTGATTTGGTTAATCTATAATTAGTCAATATCAAGTGTGCAATGAAGAGACACCATTAAAATTCACATGCATGCTTCTAAAATGATAAACCTAGCAAAAGACAAAGACTTGACAAGCTCATTTCCTTCACTAAACTAAACATAACTTTGTTGTCACCAAAACTATCTCACTTGAATATCAGATGTTTTTATGGCCAAATAAAAAGATCCCATCTTGACAATCTAAATTTTCTAAAATAATCTGATTAATCTTTGTAAGGTACCGTCTCCTGAGGTACTTTATCCATCTCTGAATGGGGAAATAGATTCAGAAACATTAGAATGCATCAGGCCAAAATTAATGTAGGATGGCACCAAGTGAAGATCATAAGAGTCATCAATGTCAAGTTGTGAATAATTTTGTCCTTTCTTAAACATGTTCAAGTACTGGATCCTTCTTACAGCACCTGGATTGTCAAATGTGATTGGCTTACATGGATGACAAGTGAGAATCAGAAATATGGACTCATACAACTTAAAAACCTCAACGGAACTTTGGAGGGCAGCATGGTACACGGGAAGTACTGGCATTGGAGTCAGGGCACCTCTGTGGGCCTCAGTTTGGTCATGACTGGTAGCACCGGATGGCTTCTGAGATTCTTTGCAGCTCAAAATCCATAACCCTGGCCTTAAAGTTGGCTCCCACACTTTCTTCACACCTCTCCTCCCTTGGGAAAGGGATGAGTTAGTGACAGAACACAGGTTGAGCTAGAAAATGGGAAAGTGAGGTCAACTTTAGAACAAAAGGTAAACTGTCATTCTTCTCCAGAAGTGTGATAAGAACAGAGAACGAAGCTATTCACAGAGGCTAAGGAAACTGAGCCATGGCACATAATAGGTGAAGAAGTTTGCTCTCCCCACGGCACTTGAGTTAGCCATGGTTACTGGTTGGAATCTCTATCAGAAAAGAACCACTATGCCACAGCGAATGCCAAGTGTATTTGGACAAGGAAAAAAGTAATAGAGGGAAGTGAGAACGCCAGTGACAGAGGCGTTTGTAAGGATAAGACAATTGGTCTGAGGCCACTGGAGTTAGCTTTGAGTCAGGACAGGGAAAGAACTGTCCTGCAGATATCAGGGGCTGATTGACAAGGCCTCATTGGAGCAGGACTTCTCTCCAGAGGTCTGAGGGATTAACAGGAATGAGAGTCAGGACACAGGACCAGACTAGGTCAGAAGAAGGTAAGATTAATTCTTCTTCTTCTTCTTTTTTTTTGGCAATTGGGGTTAAGTGACTTGCCCAGGGTCACACAGCTAGTAAGTGTCAAGTGTTTGGTCTGAGGCTGGATTTGAACTCAGGTCCTCTTGACTTCAGGGCCAGTGCTCTATCCACCGTGCCACCTAGCTGTCCCCTGAGGTAAGATTAATTCTTAAGTCATGGGGGAGGAAACTGATTTGCACATGGGAATGGCCAAACAGATGTAGCACCAATATCAAGTTTTGAGGTAATGAGGCCTAGATGAGCTTCAGTGTTTTCTGTCATTTGATGAACTTCCTACATGCCCCTGACCCTACATTTGCAGTAAGCTCCTCAAATTTTGAGTGGTCCAAGATGGCAAAGGAAAGAGGTGTGGCTGACGCAAGGAGGCCAAAGCTGATGACCGACGATGACTTGCTCACAAGCAGTGAGATCAAAGACAACACCCAGCAAGCAGTAACAGACGGGCAGCCTGAGTGGCGGCTGTGCAACTGACAAAAAATGAAATGGTCTTGAGGAGACTTGAGGCACTTCTGGCAGATCTTCTCTGAAGGATCCGTGGGAAAACACAGAGTAGAATCCCACAAGACAGGTCTGCTGGATGGGTTGAAATCTTCGGCGTTGAAGGAAGGATCTCCATGGGTCAGATGACAGATTGAAATACTGATTATCTATTGTTACTTAGAAGAAGAGAGCGTAAGAAATTTAAAAAAAAAAAAAAAAAGACTTCCACATCCCAAAGGGAGAACCACGGTTCTCCAAGGAAAGACTCAGAAAGTCAAATGGGCAGAGTAACTGTGGGGAACGAAACAAAGCATAGAGAGCTCAGTCAGCTCTTTCCCTTCTTTGCCTGCTACTACTACTACTATTAAAATAATGAGTACAAGAAGGAATAATGAAAATGTCATAATATAGAAATACTATTTGGAGTAAGACCATACTAGGCAATTGAAGTTATTAAATAAGAAACAGGCTAAATATTCTAAGAGCCTAATAGTTACCTTTAACCAAATACTGTCAAAAAGTGAATCTGTGTTAGGCTTTTTTTGGGGATCCCATGAATGCAGAGACTGAAGAGGAACAAGTTTAAAGTTCTGCAGATCTCTGGCTAGTTTATTTAGTTACTTTAAGTCAATGTCTGTCAATGGAAAGAAAGACAGGAAAAAACTTATTCCTATTAGCTTTTACTTTTGTAAGAGTGAAGTTTCAATTTAGAACTATGCCCAAAGGGCTATAAAAAAACGTGCATACCCTTTGACCCAGCAAAACCACTTCTAGGTCTGTATCCCAAAGAGATCATACAAAAGGGAAAAGGACCCACATGTACAAAAATATTTATAGCAGCTCTTTTTATGGTGGCAAAGAATTGGAAATTGAGGGGATGCCCACCAGTTGGGGAATGGCTGAACAAGTTGCGGTATATGAATGTAATGGAATACTATTGTGCTGTAAGAAATGATGAACAGGCTGACTTCAGAAAAACCTGGAAAGACTTACATGAACTGATGCTGAGTGAAGTGAGCAGAACCAGACTTAGCCCTTCTCAGCAATGCAATGATCTAAGACAATTCCAAAAGTCTCATGATGGAAAATGCTATCCATATTCAGAGAAAGAACTATGGAGTCTGAACGCAGATCGAAGCATAGTATTTTCTCTTCCTTTTGCTGTTTTTTGTTTCCCTTTTGTTCTGATTCTTCTTTCACAACACGACTAATGTAGAAATATGTTTATTTTATTGTACATGTATAGCCTATATCAGATTGCATGCCATTTTAAGGGGGGGGGAGATTTTAGAACTCAAAATCTTAGTAAACGGAAATGTTGGAAACTAAAACTAAATAATTTTTTTTTTTAAAAAGTGATGTTTTATGGTCAGCTGGGGACCAACTGGCATTAGAAAAGATAGCACTTGCATTACTAAAATGTGTTTTCCCCTTGAAGAAAATATTCTTGGGGAAAGGAAAAAGAATAATTACAATCAGAACATGCTATTTCTCACCTTATGTAAGGTGACAAAAAGTCCAAGGTGGTCCAAAAAGGTGAATTAAAACACAATTCATACATTTAACACTTTTAAAAAATATATATTTGGATAGAGTGGGCTTTGCCTGTGATTCTCCAACTTCCCCGATGTGACAGAAGGAGAAGCAGGAGAGGAATGACATCCGAAGGGTTTGGGGATTATGAAGAAGGGCAGAGTTGTGTTTAAAAGGAAAATCTAGGAGAACTGAGAAGTTGGGGGAAAAAAGCGCTGGAGCTGAAGAAAAGGACTTGAGGTGAAGGAACAAGGAGAGAGATAAGAAGGCTTTGAGCTCAAGGAAGTTGGGAAGGAAAGATAAAGCAAGTTTTTAAGCCAAGGTAAAAAAATAGGTTAATAAGAACAGGTCAGTTAGGTGTGTTAGGAAGAGGTGAGGTCAGGAAGAATTGGGGAAGGAAGCCAAGAACGGCTGTCAGAGCTCTAGGTGGTGAGAAGGAAAGCTAGAGCTTCAGGGTCCAAGGATCCCATCAGCAATGGAACAAAAGGGAAAGACCTTGAGAAGAAATGGAAGATTGAGTATCGAATACAATGGACTAAGGATGTCATTTCCCACAAGCATGAAAAGAGGAACTGTGCAGTCCGCTTGCATCTATAGAGTGTGCAATGTTTGTTATTTCTCCACTAACCAAATGACTTACTAAAAATCCTGACTGGTCTCCCTCCTAGAAAGTGGCAAAGGAACTGTTTCATGCAATTGGAATTAGGGAAGTCCCAGGGGCAAGTAAAGAAAAACTTCTCAACAATTACAACAATCCCAAAGTACAATGAACTGCTTCAGGAGGCAGGGGGCCCCACATCACTGAAAGTTGGGGACATTTACCTCATAACTCTCATTGAGACTTGGGAGGACGAGACTCAAGGTGGGAATGTGAGCATATCTTACTCCAGAGGTGAAAGTAAGTAAAAGGCAGTGGTGTGGTATGAAGAGACAGCCAGAGAAGAGGGAGAAGGCAGACACACTTAAAGGGGAAATTCACAAAGCACAGGGGGTACACCATGGAGAGGCTCAATGGAGGCAGTGCTGTCACTCAGATTACCCAGACAGTAAGAAGTAGACAAGGACCTTGAGAAACAAGACACAAGCTGTCACTGAAGCTAGTGAGTTGTAGTTGGGAGCTCTGATTACCTGGGCCCTACATTTTAGGGAGGACACCGACAACTTGATACAAAGAGGAAAGCCACCAGGCTGGTAAAGAGCCTCAGAATTATGCCATGGGCAAACTGGCTGAAGGGGCTGAGATGAGTTTAATCTGAAGAGGTAGCCTGGGGGGAGGGGTGCATGCCAGTCTCTATGATATTTCAAATGCTGTCCCTTGGAACACAGATAAGACTTATTTTGTCTGATGCCAGAGGGTGATACTAGGAGCAATGGATGGAATTACAGGGGCAAGTTTAGGCTTGATGCAAGGAAAAACTGAATAATTGGAGAGTTACTCAAAGGTGGGATGAGCTACCTTCTCAAGAGGTGGCAGGCTGGGACACTCCAGCTGGAGATTAAATGAGACAGTGTATGTAAAGCATGCCATAAGCCTTAAAGCACCAAGTAAAGGTGAGCTGTCATTATAATTAATATAGTATCAAGTATTAATACAAATTAAGTTATTCAAAACAATATCCAGTGGGACCAAGAGGGCTCTCCCATCCCATCTGAGTATACAGGAAGAGTCAGAGCCCTGCCCTAACAAAAATTCCCAATTTAGGAAGTCAAGCTGGAGACATGGACAGAAGAAGATGCTGCTGATACATGAAATTTTATGGCTCCAGTGATGTCCAAAACACAAAACTAGAGGAAGAGTGACTGACTACAGGCAGAGCTAAGGTCAAAGGTCACAAGGCTCGGCCACAAGGAATTGCTGGAAAAGATGAAACAAGAAAAAAGCATCTTTTTTTAAAAAGAAAAGGATATTATAAATGAAGTGAAAACTTGTGAAAAGCACTAAGAAGAAGAAGAAGGAGATGCAAAATCTTGCCCAAGTAACCAGCTCCCTAAAAGTTTAAATAAAACAAACAGAATCAAAGACTCCATGAGACACAAGAAATATAAGGAGAAAATTCAAGACTGAAAAAATGAAGAAAATGTAAGGTATCTTTTATAAAAAACAATGGACCTAGAAATAGAAAAGAGACAAGGAGAGATCGTCTAAGAACCATCTGGCCACCTGAGAAACACAAACAAGAGAAGCTTAGAATAAGAAACTGTAAACGAAAACTGCCCAGACATACTCAAGTCAGAAGCTCCATTTCTTTGTTGGGCAAACACATTCAAATAATGTTTCCTGAAACGCTGAAATGGGGACTTTTTTTTCCTTGTTCTTTAGATTCTATTCCTCCCCATCAATTATCCAAAAGACTCAGTGGCATGTATTAAATGACCAGGAATTCACTTGTGGATCCCAGAAGCTACATGGCCCTCCTTCCAATATTTTTTACATCTGCTGGAGAACACAGCATAATGGCTAGAAGGCTGGCTCAAATGAAGAAGATGAGGATAAGAGTAACAATAAGAGCTGGCATTCACACGTGCAAACAACGCTGGGAGGAGCTAAGTGTATTATCCTCCTTTTTAGATACAAGAAAGCAGAAGAGAAAAGGCTGAGGAGTGGCTCAGTCACTTGTCCAGGGCTGGCAGCTAAGGAAGGGCAGCCAGCAGGAGCTGACCTCGGGTCTTCCTTACTCCCAATCCAGCATCCCAACTCCTCAGCCACCTCAAGATCATGAATTTATCCAGTTTTAAAAAGTTAGCCATAAGAAAATCCCATTTTCCACACCTTTTAGTTACACCCAAATCCTTTTGGGTTGTACCAACCTGTTCTAGACTAGACCTCTTAATTCCAACAACCGTACTCCTGCCAGTGAACCCCGGAAATGTCTCTCCCACCAAAACTTCAAGATTCACCATGTCTTCCTTCCCTAGCCCAGATGGATTACGTGTAACTAACCTGGGTATCCTTTTGGAAATAATTTTATATAATTAATATAAACAGCAGACACTACAGCTCCCCTTCAGAGTTAATATAACTCATCAATGGAATGCAGCTTGTTGCTTAAAGCAATCCAAAAAGATGTCCTAATAAGTCAGTTGGGGCACAAATAACTTATACGGTTGCATCCAGCCCAAATTTTCTATGATTATATAACTGCTGACAACATTAACACCTGAAATTAATGAATAAGTTTCTTCTCTTCTTTAACTCTTGTTTCTTCATTAAAGTGCTGACAAATAAATAGGACAAATAATAAAACTAACAAATAACTCATCAGAGACAAGTTAAATAAGAGGGATGAGGAACAAGGCAATTTACACCCTAAATAAATGTTTTTCTCTGTAAAAACGACTGGTCAAGGATTTTATAGTATCAACAAGTAATGCTTCTCATAAACAGGAAAGCCCTTTCTTAATTCCTACATTGTGCAAACAGCATATTCTGAAGAAGGGAAAGGACCATCTGGTAGATGTTACATTCTGTCCAGCTGATTACAGAGTACCAGAAATGCAAATACAACAGACTCGAGGTGAGTGTACTCACAGTGAAGGAGCAGTACCACGTAACAACTAAACTTAGGGTCACTCCTCTGGCTTCGATCTTATACATTCACAACCCACACATGTACTTTCTAACTTGTTCCAGGAAAGTGACAGTCCTTTTTTCAAGCCTCCTACCTCCACAGAGCAAATATTACAGAATTTGGGCTGACAACCGGAGGTGAGTATAACCTTCTGGAAGACCCTGAAGGGGAAATATGTACATTTTGTCTCTCTGCGAATTTCTTTCTTTTTTTTTTTTTTAAACAACAAGCAGCTACTCTGACTGGCTCACACATTTCATTGCCCCAATAAAAGAAAGCCAAGACCTGAAGATGTTTTTGTTACTACATATGGTCATTTATGTTTATAATTTTCCTAATACTGAAGCAGTCTTGCAGGGCTAGTATAAATCCAGTCTGAACAACAAATGACGTGTTTGGATCTCTTCCAGCTTTATGATTCTATAAGTAAAAGTCCATGTGCTCCTGCTGGCCTCACTTTACCTTGATGGATATTTCAGTGAATAAGCAGCAGCCAAGAATCCACCCAGATTGTGTCCAAGCAAGATCACTGTGTCCAGACCTAGAGCACACCTCCATTCTTCAATTGTGTCCACAAACTGGTCCTCGGCTTCTACCGCATCACCGCCAAAGGGGGGTCTACTACTCCGCCCAAAGCCCAGAAGATCCAAAGCGTATACGGGCCTATTTTCACAAAGATCTCCAAAGTTGAGCGCCCAGAGTCCAACCCCACCTCCAAAGCCATGGAGGAGGATAAGTGGAGTCTTATGTGCAATATCCTGAGAAAATTTTAGTGTCCATATTTTATTTCCACTGGATATACGAACAGATTCTTTTTTGTATGGACAGGGCACACCTGAAGAAAACAGAAAACAAAAGAAAAAGTTTGCTTAATTAACCACACTATTTTTAGGAAAGAGAATATACTCTTAATTAACATCTAAATATATATATATGTATCCCACTGTCACATCACGGATTTACATTAATTCTAAGAAATTAAATATAAAACCTGTACAAGAGCTAGTTGCTACAACAATGTGCAAATGAAAAAGTCTAAACATGAGACAGGCCTGGACGGTCTCCCTGCTGTAGAGCGGCCATAAAAATCTGGCTGTATCTCTAGATTTAGATGATGTTCATTATGCTTTGGTCCAGAGAAAAAGCAACATACATTTATTAAGCACCTACTATGTGCTAGGCGTCATGCCTTTAAATAAAGCCAGACTGCTAAAATTACGAGAGAACCTTCACAAAAAGATCAGGGAAGGGTAGAAAATGAAAAAGAAGTATTGGTATTAAAATCCAACTGAGGAGTTTAAGTATTTTAAAAGTAGAGATCCAATACAGTAGGTCAGATCAAGTAGAAAGAGCAATGGACAAGAAACCTGGGCTCCAGTCTCAGTTGTGCCGCTCACTCACTATGCGGCCTCTGGGTGAATCACGATTCCTCAGGGCCTCAACTTTTCTCATCTATAAAACGGCAAGGAAGGCAAGCTAGCGAAGCTTTCAGGGCTCTTTTGGCTCTACAATTCTGTCATTTTGAATAAGTAGATGGATCTCATGAATGGAAAACTCTAAGAGGAACTGCCAACATTCTAAGGAGGAGAGAAGAGGTCTCCAGGTGGGCCCCACATCTCAAGACGCTCAGGGGGATGCACACTCTGGGGAAAACAATGTTGTCGACAGGAACCAAAGAGAAGAAAAACTTTATACAAATGCCAAGAAAATCCAAAGGTGGGAGGCACAGAATAAAACAGAAAGAATCAGAGGGTATCCAAGCTGTCCAGGAATAAAGAGTTGCAACATCTAAAAGGGCCTATGTGACACCCAGTGAAGAGGAGGGGTAAAAAGACAGCAAGTACCTGGGAGAGAAAGGTGGAGAGAGGGCAGACTAAAGGCAAAGCACAACTACTGCTCCTAAGAAATGATTAAATACTTTAAAATTATGGGGCACATTTATTTCTGGGTTAGGAAATAAACCTGGAGTTTAAAAACTACCTAACCATGAAACTGCGATGTGACAAACTCAAACTGCTCACTTTGGGCCATGAAATCCCCTATGAGTTAAGTTGTGTGACCTGACTGGTTAAGGTGGAAGGGCTGTGAAAGAGGGAGGAGGAAAGGAAGAAGGAAGCAAGAGAACGGGGAAGAAGGGCTAGCCCAGGGCCAACGCCTCTTCCTCCACAAGGTGCTCCGTTCCATTTCGTCACACAAATCAAAGCAAACTCCTTCTATTCAGAAATCCAAACACTTGGCACTGGATTAAAAGAAGTCCGTTTCACGAGAATGGGAGGCCACATTTTCAGTTCAACGGCTAAAGCAGTTTGAACAGAAGGCATACGAGCAAGTTCTGGAGACCAACAAGTAGCACTTGGAACAATACCACTCAAAACCTTTTCTGCTTTATTGAAAGCAAGGTTAGAAAAGGACTTATCAAATGCAAGTTTCTATTCCAAGTGGAGAGAGGGCTGGACTTGGAGGCAGGAGGACCCTACTTCGAATACTGCCTTGAATATTTACCAGCTGTGTGACCCTGGGTCAGTCGCTTAATCTCGCGGGGCTTTAGTTTCCTCAGCTGGAAAATGAGGAGGTCAGACCTGATCGTCTCGAAGGTCCCCTTCAGCTCTAAATTTATGACCTTCTCTTAAGTACGTGAAGCTACCTCCAATCTATTTTCAAGTCATCACTTAAAATAAGATTGTCCCACCTCTGCATAGCAAATGTCACTCATTCCTTCCCTATTCAAACATAAAAACAAAGAGATTCACACGTAAATCCCATACCACACAAAACCTATTCCCAATTTATTCTGAGTCCTTAATAAACTCCCTCTCTGACACCTCATCATAGGGCGGCACTGACCCTGGATTCTCTAAGGCCGTGCCAGCAGACTCGAAACTCTCCCAGGTGTTCGGAGAGGTAAACAGCTTCCAAGATGGCCCTAGCCCCTGACTACATCTGTCACAGGGGACAAGCCTAGCTAAATTGGGAGAGTTTCACTGCAGAATGTTAGTGACAAAACGGTGAACAATTTTAGTAACAGCAAAACACAAAGACTGTCCACAAAGTGAGAAGGAAGTACACGGTGCTAAAATCAAGGGATCACATCAACTTCAACACTTCCTCCACCCCTGAAAGGAGATTAGGATCACAGAGCCAGAGTTGGAAGGGAGAGGCGAGAGCTAAACTACCAACAGATAACTAGAAAGCGCTCTCCAGCACAGTCTCCATAGTAGCCTGGTCTAATTTCTCCCAGAAGGAGGTACAGCTGCATGTGTGGGACTCAGCAAAGCTCACCTCTCACAAAGACATCAACACAACAGGGTCATTCTGGAGCTTGCCGCCACTGTGCCCCTAGGGAGGATACATTTTGCCAAGCTCTAACACAGGAAAGAATCTCATTTAGTGTTTCAGTTCCATTTTCTTTATTACCTTTAGCAGCTCTCTGCATCACTACAGACTCAGGAAATATTCTGTCAGGACCACTGACCCTATTTTTCCCTTGCAACCCACACTGTTACTCTTCCAAACCTCTTTCTCTTCACTAAGCACATTCTCATCCCCAAACTCACTGTAAGGAGATAGTCTTACGAGCCTGAGGTAGCTGAGGGCAAGCTCTTCTGGTTTCCTTCCCCAAACCTTCGCAGCACTGTCTCCTTCCCCTCTTCCATCCCTCCAAGGACACCCCAGCATTACTCCCTCTGTGTCCATTCACAGTAATATCACCCCACTCCCTCCCACTGTGATCTTGCTCCATCAGGTATCCCCTCCCTCACTATTCAACCCTTCCTTTGTCATTGATTCCTTCCTAGAAACATGCTCAGGCCATCCTAATCAATCAACAACATTGATACTAAAAAAGGGTTCCCTCTCCTTTGTCTGGCCACTGACCCATCTCTCTCACCGTCCTCTTTACTATGAAATAGCTGGGAAAAAGTTGTCTAGATCTGATGCAGTTACTTTTTCACCCTTTTTGCAAACAAGCTTCTGACCCCAGCACTCTGATGAAACCACTCTCTCAAAGGTCACCCAAGACTGTCACCTGACTGCCAAATCTTGCTTTTTTTAGCCCACATCCTCTTTCACCCGACATGGATGGTTCCGCACCAGCCTCTCCTGATTCTCCTCCTGTCTAAACACTCCTTTGTTTTGTCCTTATCCTGACCCTTTAAAAGGGGGGCTGCCGGCCAGCTGTTATCCTGTCTCCTGCCATCTCATTCTCTCTCACCACTTCAGCTATCTCCTCCAAGCATATGACTTTCCAGGACTGAAGCCTCAATCCTAAACTTCAAACAACCTTGAGAACTTCTCCATTTGAATGTTCCACCCACACAAACTCAAGAATGCAAAAATGAAGTTCATTATCACACCCCCTAAACTCACGCCTCCTTCTGAAGTCACTTATTTGTTGAGAAATTGTTCACCAATGTTCACCAGTTGAGTCTCCAGGATCAGGAACTGCAGAATTCTCTTTAACTCTTCCTTCTCCAAGTCTAGTTGATTCCATCTTTTTGCCATCTCTCACCTCTGTTCTCTCTACTTCCCACTGTGACTATTTTAGGACAGGCCCCAAGGCTACCGCAGTCGCCTCCTCATAGGAGCCAGCAGGTTCCACGCCACTGCCAGACTGACCCTTCTCATGCAGGGGTATGGTCACAGCAATTAGCTAACCCTTTGTCTGCAGACTTCTTCTGGCAGGCCCACTGAGCAAAGTTCACATTTCTCTGCCCACCATTCAAGGCTCTCCACAACCTGACACTTTGGTGCCTTCCCAAACTTCTCTCTATAGAGTTGCCTCCCAAAGTCTTAGTGCAGACTGAAGCCTGAAGCCGGGACTCTGTTCCAATCACCCGGACAGCCCCCTGCCCCCAGAAGAACCTCTATATTTCTGCCCAGGCTGATGCCATTCCAGGACCGCCCTCCTTCCCTCATGTCTATCCCAACCAATCCATGGAAACTCAACTCTGATGTTGCTCTCCAAAGGGCTTTCTCTGATCACTGCTACTTTTTAACCCCACTCCCCTTTATACGCCATAACACTGTAAATTTGAGCTTTCCATCTTAGTTTCTATTTCCCCTCATTAGATGACGAGCTCCTTGAGGGTAGGGACAGTGATATCTAAATGCTGCATCTCTCCCACTGTCTAATACCTCTGTACACAGCAGGCACTCCCAAAATATTTGATGCTGTTGAAACTGGAAAGGACTTTCTTAATTATCTAGTCCAACCTGTTCCTTTAACTGATGGAAAACTGAAGCCCAGACAAGTAGAGGGATGCATCAAAAATCTTAAGAGATTTGGAGGCTAACGTGGCCCTTCCCGCTATACCACCACTTCATCTCCTTTAGGTCTGTGTCCCAAAAGAACAGAAAAACTCACACTTCAAGATCTTTTCCTCAGCTTCTTTCAGCAGGGACGAAGATGTCGGACACCAAGTGGGAAGCCACCCCGTCAGCCATCCTGACCTATACCAATGAAAACGGAATACGGTATACATGTTACAAGTTAGAAGGAAACAGTTCAAAAGTGTGGTGAAGCCCATTTAATCCTGCCCTGTCCCAGTGGAGAGAGGGCTGGCCTTGATTCAGGAAGGCCTAGCTTCCATGAATGCTGCCTGGTCTTGGGCAAACTTCTCAGTGCTCTAGGCAGAGAAGGTACAAGATCTGTGTTGGTGGAGAAGGTTTCTTGTTTGAAACTGTCTCGTTTGCCAAGTCACAGATCCGGATACTTCTTGGAGTTCAGTCTATGTGGGGATAAGACTTGTAATATTCAGTATATTCAGGGTCAGCCCTCATACATGCACATAACCAACATCATAAAACCTATCTCATGCTCCACGGATGATCTCATTATAAAATGACAACGCAAAAGAGTAGGAAGGCACCTTACAAAGCAAATACACCATGCCCCCCTTGACAGAAGTTCACAGAATTATTATTTTGTATATTATAATATTATGCTGAAGGTCCCACATCCATTAAACAAGCAGAGTCAGGATGTGGACCCAAGACTTTTTACTTTTAAACCCAGCCTCTTTCTAGTCTACTCTATTTCTTCACTAAAGATGAGCAAAACAAGAGTGATAAAAACAGCCTTCCTCTGCTCTAAAGAAACATTCCTTCAATATACAAAATTACTCAGAGTAGCAGCAGTAAAGGAAAAAACAACCAAAGAGCAGAGCAGTGAGAGGACTATCTGGTAGTTAAGAAGGTGCTTTAGGAAGAGGAGAGAAGGCCTGCCACAGAAATAATAACTGTGAGTAATAATAATAATGACTAGCATTTCTATAGTACCAAAAGACATGGTGTAATAGGAAGAGCAGTGACCTTGGAGTCTGAGACCTGAGCTCCATCTAATCCCTCCCCTGACATTTGGTATCTCTAGGGACCAGAGCACTGGGCCAACCCAAAGGGCTAGATTAACCTAAGATGCCATTACCCTTACTAGTACAAATGACCAACAAACATATCAAAAGTTCAGATCTACACTCAGTGTAGAAGTTAAGAAGGTCCCCAAACTGGCCTATTTAAAAACAAACATATATCCGCAAAATAAAATCTATGTGTGTGTGAGTGGGGTGCCTGAGCCAGGGCTTAACTAATTTTTTTTTTTAAATCTACTTCTCTTGAGTTGAAAAAAGCACTATACTGAAAATAATCAAGTTAATGTTTCACTTTTTTTTTTTTTGCTCAAAAGAATATACTCCAGTTATTTCTGAATATAAATGTTCTCTCTGCCCTTGACCAGAAGCACATGAGACCACTTGTCACGTCAGATCATAGAAACATGGAGTCTTACCAAGAGGAAGGTATTTACAACTCCATCTCAACCACTTTCTTAAGCAAATAAGCTTCAAATCATAGCAAACTTCTCTGCCAGGGAGTACCAGAGGTCAGTACAGATCAAAATTAAAGTGAAAGAACAAAATATAATTTATTATTGCTCCACTGACCTGCAACTAAGACATTACTGCAAAGACCAGTACAATCTGTGTTCCAGTCTAAAACCTTTAAAATAACTTTTTTCAACACTGCTCTCTAATATGGGAAAGACATCCCTGTTCAGTCACATGGATGCCCTTGAACAAATGAAATTAATATTTCGGAAGAGCAAAGACATTATCATCTCCCAATTATTTTGCTTGTTACGACTGATAACTCAAAAATATTTCTGCACTTTCCAGACTAACATTTTATTAAAACCTGTTATTCTTCAAGCACTAAAGGAAAATCACACACTGGTCATTAACAATGCTTGTAAAGAAAATACATTTATATTTAGACACAAATCTGTTTTTAATAAAAACTAATTGAAAACTGAACTTTCCACTTTAATTAAACAAAACACTCCTCTTTCCCCAATCCTTCGGGTATATGAGTGTTTGCGTAGCACCAAGGCACTCCATTTCATTTTAACCGCCAGATTATAAACCACTCAGTCTGCTGGCCCTCCTTTTATCACTTTGCCTGTGTCACCCACCACACGGCTTCAGCCTCGTGATCTCCTCTTTCAGCTCTAACATTCTACGATCTTATAGAACAAAAATTTGGTAAACATTTCTCCCAGCTGATATTCTCCAAGTAATTCTCATGCTCTCCTACTTCCTCATCCCTTCGAGGCCCTCCTCTTTTCCCAGCAGAAAGCTCAACTTGCCTCGGTTTTTCTGGACCTCTTCCAACCACTAGGACCTGGTTTCCTTCCCTCCATTTTCCAAGCTCCTTTCTTCACTCGAGTGGTTAGCAGAATGAAAAAAAGCATTCAAGGACAGGTGTAAGAGAAGCCTGAGACAGATCCTGCAATTCTTTTGAGAGCACAAAATCTACAAAAACAAATAAATCTCATATAAAGCAATGTAGTGAACAAGATCTCTAAATGGTTCTTCTAGGCCTACCATTCAACAATTACGCCTAAGAGGTAGTTCCACCATGTTAGAGATTTGGAAGTAAAATTTATTTTGTTGTATTTGGGCAGACTGGTAGGGATACTTAAAGCATTCTCATTCATGGCTCAGTCCCTGGGTCTGTCCATCCCCCCAAAAAGAATAATATCTACCAGAGAAAGCCCACTTATCAATAGCACACAATCTCCTACAAGAAAACTCATGGGAAGATCAAGTTTTACACTGGACCCTAACTGGCCATAGGTTCAGCCTTACCAGTTGGACACTGAGTGATGTTAGCCATACCAAGGGATCCAGGCTATAATGGGTTCTATAAAAAAACAAACAAAAACCAAAAACCAAAACAAAACAAAAAACAAATGAGAATGGGGCTGGTCCTTTTAGTAATCAGAAGTCTACAGCAAAGAGGGTTTTTAAAGACTATCTTCGTGGTCACTGAAAGAGGCATAATAAGGTAGAATAATATAAGCAAACTCTGTACTCACATAACAGTAACAGATTAATTAAGAGAAGGTATAGACAAGCAATTATTTACACTCAAGTCACTGTGCAGAAAATACTTTTTCTAGGAAAAAAAGATTCCCCCTACAAAAGGAATTGCCACCAAATATACTTCTTAAAGGTATTTAACACTGTAATATATTAATATCTCTTCCCTAGTAATTTCTTTGTTTTGTTCAGTCAAACTATTTGACAATCTAGAGTGTCACTAAATCTGAACTACATAATCCACAGATATTATGAAAGAGTTAAAAGATTTCAAAGAAGATGTTCACTCAGCAGGCTGGCTTATTTTCACAAGAAGGTCTTGAAGAACATATTTCTAATTATTTTATGAAATATCTTTCTAGTATTTTGGTTTTATTTTAAATGACCACTATCTTTGGCACAATGCTGCTTATACCCACTACGAGTCTTCCTATAGCCTTTCAGGGTAGTTACCTGCAACTGTGGCTCAAGATTATGCTATTCCACAATTGACATTTACCATCACCAACAGAATACGAAGCTTTAGGGGCAGCTAGGTGGCGCAGTGGACAGAGCACTGGCCCTGAAGTCAGGAGGACCTGAGTTCAAATCCAGCCTCATGCTGAACACTTGTCACTTACTAGCTGTGTGACCCTGGGCAAGTCACTTAACCCCAATTGCCTAAAAACTACAAAACAAACAAACAAACAAACCCCTAAAGAATATGAAGCTTTAAAAGGTGAGCTTTTAGGGCAGTGAGTAGCATAGGATCAGCCAGTCAGTCAGCTAGCATTTATTAATCACTTACTACCTGTCAGTCACTGTGGTAAATGCTGAAGATACAAGAAAGGAAAAACAAAAAACAACAGCACCAACAACAAAAAAAACACTGTCCCTGACCTCAAGAAGCTTAGTCTAATGGGGGGAGAAAAGAGGCACATTACTGGGTACACACAGGATATATACAGAGAAAGCAGACTGGAAAGTAATCTCAGAGGGAAAGAGGTACAGAAAAGGGACCAAGAAGAGCCTGGGAAGGCGGGATTTAAGCTGACTCTCGAAGGAATCCGAAGGGGACCATTCCTGGCACGGGGGACCGCCAGTGCAAAGGCACAGAGAGTGTAGATGGAAGTGTGTCATATTCCAAGAACTGTAAGGTAGCCAGCGAAACTAGATCACAGAGCATACGGAGAGGAATAGAGTGCAAAAACGGAAAGGTAAGAAGGCAGCAAATTGTAAAGGGCTTTAAATACCAAACGGAATGTGGAACCAATGGAGTTTTACTGGGCAGAGCACTAACCTCAGACTTTCCCTTCAGGAAAATCACTTCAGCAGCTGAGTAAAGGACGCGTTAGAGTGAAGGGGCCTGGGAAGAGTAAGACGATGTGCTAAGGCCCGTACTACAGTGATGACTGTATGAGTGGACAAAGGCAGCCATTATAGGAGACGCGCCGTCAAGGCAAAAAGAACATCTGATGACAACAGTCTGAATAACTGACGTGAGTTCAAATGAGGAATTGACGATACTGCCAAAGCTGTGAGCCTGGCAACCAGGAGAATGCTGTCACCCTAGGGGTGGGTGGGGTGCTCAGGGAGTCCCAGCACCTCTGGTGGGAGGGCCACTCACCCACCTCTGGTATCCACCTGATTCTCCTAATCTCACCCGTGGTTCCAAGAAGCTGCAGCATGCACAGCAGCCCCACCCTGGTAAACCATCTCAGCAGATGGGCTAAATCGGGTTGAAGGTGACTGGTAGGCATCAAACCCAATGGTGAGTCAGGGGATGTCTACCCCAAACACGTGAAGACCTTTTCCTGGAGGAATGGGCAGACAAGAACAATCTGTTCCAATGGCCATGAAGCAGGAGCTTGGCCAGACATCAAAGATGCCAAAGTCATTCACTGCATTCCCGGCCATCAGCAGTCATTTTGGCTTTGGCCCTGCCACTGGATTCTGTGACGCTGGAAGAGAGAATGAGGCGGACAACTTTGCGCAATTCTGTCTCACTTAAATCCACTTCACCCATGAGGCCAGACATCACCCATGATGTCAATGGCTGTCCTGGAAAACAAAGGATAAACCACAACAAGAAGAAAG